GATGAACACTCCCAAGGATGGCTGAACAACTGAAATCGATTATTTGCTTGATTAAATTTGTATTCTGTATCAGATAGTTTCTTATTAAATTGAGCCAGCCCACAAACAATATAGCATTACATCTAAGAAGACTGTGAAGTTAACATCCACTGCTGTGAGAACAGAGAAATTAGTTTGATAAGCACAATTACCATAACATTCAAAACGTTCGACTTCTTAAAAATGAACGGACATATACCATCACTTATGCCAAATTTGCAGGATAAAATATTTTTGAGTTCGAAAAAATTTCTGCAACAGGCTGACCATTGAAACAATCCAGAAGAAGGCACTGTTAAATATCATATCTTGAGAACCTCATAATTTCTGAAAAATAGTAATTAAAAAGGAGCCTAAGAATTTCACGTAACATTAAACATACCAGATTTAATATTTATTTGATATTATACAATATATAGTATGTTCTATATACAACTTGCCTTGGTCGCTTAATCCTTAAGGGTATCAGAAATAATTACTATTAATTCTCAGGTTGTTTTTCTGCTCTGCTGTGCTTGCTGAGAGCATGTAAGTGCTTCTTCACAATTCCTTTGTTCATAATCAGGTTCTTAAACCTGTTGTGATGCTGTCCAAGAGCATTATAGAACGACGAACCTGCAACAACAGTCTCAGTGATAATTAGAGAACTCAGTTTTGAAGACTCTTTCACAATCTTCAACAGGGTATCTCCCTCCACTTCCTTCTTCTGTTGTGACCCCGTGCATGACGATACTTCAATCCTCTCGACAAACCTAATTGCTCTCAATAACTGTAGTTGGCATCAGTATCCTGCCTGCCGCATAAAGTCAATTTGTGTAGCTGTGTAGATCTCTGCAATAAGCTGCACACGTTCCTGGTAGTAACAGTGTTGCTGTTGAAAGTTAGATCTTTCCATAAATCCAGATGTTCGACAAGATGGACCACCACCTACATACAGGTACCACACAGACACAGAGCTCTTTCATGTTGAGATAAGTGAATACTGAGAGCAGCAACACAGGAGACAGATCCATAATACCCGTTTGTGACCTGTGAGATTCATTCAAGTCTTGTGGTTCCTTGGTCTTGAGTGGCGACTCAGCATTTCCAGTGTTGGCCATTGAGTTCTCTGTGACTTCACAGTGAATTCAAATAGCATAGGGGCCATTTCTTGCCTCATACCTGATTATGGAAACAGATAGTTTCCAAAATGTTTTATTTTAGAAAACTCAAAGACAATTGGTAATGTCAAAAATAGTAATTATGTAAGATTTGAGGCTTTCACGGCGGTGACTATGAAGAAAGCAGTCTTCTGGGATTTGGCACCGTGTATATTGGTGTTAACCGACGTTTTGGAGGAATGTATCGCCTCCATCTTCAGGGTAGAAGGAGAAATATAAGAAATCTGCAAGCGAAGAGACCGTGAGAACTGTGGCCATGGGCCACTTGCCAAGAAAAATGCTGCCATACAGCTGGAACACCTAGCACACACTGTTTACTTCTTTAATTAATTATTAATCAGTTATAGTAATTAATATTGTACTCACCATCATAGAAGTTGTTCAAAATGTCTGCCCTCTGCTGTGACACATGTCTGAATGCTTTTAAACAAATTTCGGGAAACTTGCTGCAATTCACGTTGCTGAATACTGTAATCTGCTTCATGAATGTCCTTATTTACAGCCTCCATGTCACGTAGACACAACACTTTAGAGTTTTCCCCATACAATAAAAATCACAGGCGTTTAGATCTGCAGATTTATGGGGCCAACTAACTCTTGCTAATAATTCTATCCTCCCCATTAACTCCCCAAACACACCATGTAATGCGCAAATAGTTTCCTTAGCTGTGTGTGGAGTTGCACCATCTTATCTTTCTTCTGCAGGTCCCAAATTAATGAAAAATGGATTATTTCATTAATGTATCATTGAGCATCAAGAGTTCCTTCACAAAATATCAGTCCAATGATATGGTCTGTGCTAATTGCACATGATATGATTATCTTTTGGTCATAAAGGTGAAGATGAGTTAGGGCATGAGGATCTTCACTACTGCAGTACCTGTTGTTTTGTGAGTTAACATATCCCGAGATATTAAAATTAACCTCATCTCTGAAAAATCTCAGCTTACGATCAATAAGTCAGTTATTCACATGACTGATAAACCAATTACAAAAATCACACATTTTTCAAAATCCATGGGTTTGATTTCAGGAACAACAGCAATTTTGTACAGACGAATATGCAACAGTTTAGTTGCTCTCTACGCACTGTCTACAGAAACAAAACTTTGTTGTGCTAATTGCTGCAAAGATTTTAAAGAAGAATTTTCTAATTGATGACCGATGTAATCATGTTTTTCCTCAGTTCAAACACGACTTTTTAATGACTTTCTGTCAGTTAAAAGACCGTTGGTTCAAACTTTCTTCATTAATTTTGAAATTGTATCTCCAGATGGACATGCGTCAGGAAATTTAGGGCAAAATTTTGTCCTGCACAATTTGTATGGGTTTTTCACACAATCATAAATGAAAACTCTTGATTATAAATTGTATCTCACACAAGCCATAAAGACACAGAATCAGAGCACATTATAAAGAAGCTTCTGAAACACTCAATGGCATAACACTGACTGACTCACTGATAACAAGATCACCAAATGAATGACCTTCAGTTTTCCAGGGGATCATAGTGTCTGCCGACATGATGTTATGAGAAGCTCCTTGTATATTTAATAAGCCTGCACAATGAACACTCCGTACCTGCTTTCTGGAACTGCTCACCTTCTCCTCACAGGATGTTATAACAATTGGAGCTTTGATGGGACTTAATGTTGAGCATTTAGTTAGGATAACATGTATGGTTTTCTCGGGTGATTTAGAGTTGGGATTCTTGGTATTTTGCATTATGAAGCCTGTGAAAGGAAACAATGACAAAAGTTATGAACGCATGGTTTGTGATGTTATTTGTGGTGCCTCATGCACGTCAAGCAGAAATACTCTTGCCAGAAATGAGGACATATCCAACTTTCCTCCTCCTCCTCCTTTAATGGATATTTTTCATCCAGTACATAAGGTGGATCTGAACACTGGTATCTTTGAAAACCAAAAATTAAATGGGGGAAAAGAAATTACAGAACATTAAATGGGGTATTCCACAATATATACAGGGCATTCGAGTAAGGAGGAAACTTCGCAACACCGCTGACTGGGTCCAACATTCCTCATAGATTGCTGGTGTAACTGTTGATAATGGAATGAGTCATTAGCGCTGATAAACGTGCGCACTCTCAGTAGTGCAGAGTGGATGGAATGTTTCTACGCGACTATTCCCTCACATCAGTTTCTGTACAAGCACATATTATATAAGAATATTGTAAAAAGATAATACAAACTTAACTTGCTTTATAACAGGTGCTGAAAGTGACCTCCTTCTGCTTGTAAACAAGCCCTGCATTGGACTTACAGCACACCACACCTCCATCTTTTCACTACGTAATAGCACTTGCTGTATAGCGTGAGGATTTTCATCGCCCCATTTTCTTACATTTTGTGCATTGACATGACCACTAACGTGAAACCACGCTTCATCAGTCATGAACAGAAGCTGTGGATCCACGATTCCAATATACAGATTTTGCAGCAGCCAGATGCAAAAACGAATTCTTGCTGCATAATCTGGTTGTTTCAGATCATGCACAACTGTTATTCTATAGGGCAAAATGTTATTAATTTTGTGGCTGTGAAAGCAGATCCTTGCTGTAGTCATGCCTCAATATCCCAAAATTTTTCTTCAGTCAGCACAATCCTCTTTGATTGCTTCTTTATGTCACACACTGAACATGTGGCCTGCCACTTTTTCACAAGCTTGGATACACACAACTTTATGGGAACTGGTGAGTCAGGATATTCATGACAAAACTTATGAATACATTTTCTGTACCTTTTTTCCTTGCAAAATTTTTGACAATAAACACGCTGTTCAATAGTGAACTTCCTTTCAGTATAAATGTCCACCGCCTATTGACATCTCTAACACAGACCGACTATTAATGAGACAACTGCAGTGACAAGATCACACCACCCAACAACACGCGTTTATCAGTGCTAATAACTAATTCTGCTATTGGCAGTTACAGCAGCAATCTGTGAGAACAGTTTGGCCCGGTCAGCAGTGTTGCGAAGATTCTTCCTTCACTGAACACAGTGTGTGTGTGTGTGTATATATATGAAGTGTCACTGTAAAAGTGAACTGGGGAATTGCAGTAGCAGTGGCAGAATTTGTAGCATCCATATTCCTTACACAATAAAACGTACCAGCCCTTCTTCCTTCTTCCTTGGATCCTGGGGGAATTCTGTCATGTGTGAAGACTCTTTTATATTTNGATTTGCGGAAAATAATATATGCTTCCTTTTCTATTGGTATTTAAAATATCCAGCACATGGTAACTGGGTCATTTAAAGCCACTATGTTTAAAGCATTAAGCATGAATTCTGAATGATAATTTACATATTTGAAGGTAACTATTAAGATGTGGGCACACATCTAGATGTGGTGTCCTAGTAAATGCTTTCTGAAGAAATAACTGTGACTGCGACTCACAGAAACATTCATGGTACATATCGCATCCCTTTTTATAACCCATGCCTCAACTTTAATCAGACCTGCGGTTGCACATTCATTGTTTTGATTATGGCAATTACAACCATGAACTATGGAGCTTGACTAGAACTTTGATAGCATATTCCTTCTATCAAATTCTCCACTGGGGAATTAATATAACACACTATGTGTTGCAACACTCTGAAAGATATAGCTGGACTTGCAATATTTCTTACATTCATCTGAAAGGCAAAGCACACCCCAGAACATACGGTGGCATACCACATACATCAAACTCTGGTGTCAGCAAGATTCAATTTCTGGCTTGATCTAACTTACAAACTTTGTGCTCATTTACTGACTTTTTAGTAAGCATTCAATTATGTTGTACCCTCTGAGGGCAGAATTCAGCTCTTCATATATTTGACCACTTATAACTAATTCGTACATCTCAGGAATACACACACTACTTACTACGCACTAATAGATTCCTCTGAAGTTGCTCACAATACTAAATAATATATTAACACACATCACAAGAATATGAACAGTCTTCATTTGGTATGTGTATGTCTTTCCACATCATTCTGTTCAAGTATCCCTTTTAATTTATATTACAAGCACACAAAACCCCCATATTCAAATAGCTGCCCTTGTGTTACATCACTACATGATTTCACACATCACAGGAATTAGGGCGCTCTCCATTATGCATGCGTTGATGTGTCTTCAGAGTACTCTGTATGCGAAATGATTTCTTACACACTTCACAGGTATATGGACGATCTGAACTATGTACACGCTGGTGTTTGTTTAGTGTACTTTGTTCAGTAAATGATTTATTACATATTTCGCATGAATAAGGACGCTCTCCACTATGTATGCGTTCATGTGTTTTCAAATTACAATGATACCTGAATGATTTGTTACAGATATCACACAAATATGGACGCTCCCCACTGTGGGTGCGTTTATGTGACTTCAACGTACCATGTACATTAAATGACTTATTACATATATCACACGAATACGGACGCTCACCACTATGTATACGCTGATGTTTCTTCATATTACTCTTGTCACTAAATGATTTATTACAAATATCACAAGAATACAGACGCTCGCCGGTATGGATCAACACATGTCTTTTGAGCTTACCCAAATCACTGAATGATCTTGTACAAACTTCACAGAAATATGGACGCTCTCCACTATGCACAAGGTGATGTCTCTTAAGTTTACTGAGATGACGGAATGACTTACTGCACACACCACAAAGGTATGGACTCCCCTCAGCACCTGTAGGGTGATGCTCAATCAAAGAGCTCTGCTAAAAGAAAAAGTAGAAGGAGAAGCATTACAATCAGTTAACAGGATGAAGTATGAGTTTGAAACTGATGCCAATTAAGGTACGTCAATAAATACATTCACAAAGATTTACATCCTCTCCTTAATCTCATTACACGGGTATATATTTTGTTTATGGTGCTGTACACACTGCAAGAAATAGGCCACATATTCTTGTACAACATGGTAATTTAGATGTGAATGACTTTATGCACAAGTTATTTGAAGAGTTATCTGAACATGAAAAGTTACAACCGTACTTTCAGCTAGATAATGCAATAACCACATAAAACTCAATGTGGTGGATTTTCCTCATTGAAAGGATAATGAGTAATAGAGTAAATTCACCATATGGACCAAACACATTAGCATGTGATTTTTAACTCAAGTGAAAAAAGAAATCTGAAAACAGCATCATATATGACAAGTGCAGGAACACAGTAAAAGCCACTATATTATTATGATACAACTTGTCATAGGCCATCCTAAGTCCAGTTAAAAGGTTAAGAGGAGGGCATCTCATAAAAAAAAAAAAAGGCTGTAATGACTGGCTCGAACTCAGGGTTTATCAGGATCTGGGTAGTGACTGCTTGTTAGCTGTAATGAAAGCACCTCCACTATGGGGATGAATAACTTCTATTAAAGCTCCTGCCCTTCCAGGTTGGGGGTTTTGTGATGAACTGGTAACTTCAAATGTAAAATGTAATTATACCCAATTCATACTATGTACATACAGGTAAAGGTAAAGCTGTCCCTGTGCTTAACTAATTAAGCACTATGCCATGAATGCATATGGGGGAGTGGATGTATAGATCTATATTTTCTTGACCTTGACACTAGTAGGACACAAAATAAGGGAAAGAATAAGAAACTGAAGAATAGAATTTGTGTTGGCTAAACTGAAGAGAACTTCAGTTTAGCCAACACTGAATGTTATTCTTCCAACTGTTTACATTTTGTAGTGGTCTTGTCACTGCATTAATGATTGTGCTCAGTGACAATCTGTGTGAAAGAATTGGAAAATGGGAGACTTGTCTGACTATGGAGGAGGACAGATCATTGGTGTGCATTTAGGTGGACCATCAGTAACAAAAACTGCAATAATGTTAGGTGTATTTAGAGCAACAGTTTTGGCATACACGAAATACAGGAAAACAACTGCAGCAAAGAGGAACAGTGGATGAAAATGAACACTGGTGGAAAGAGATATCATGCACTGAGAAGAATTTTTTCAAAAAATCACAGTACTACAGCACAAGTGATGGCAGATCTGAATATTCATCTTGAAGACACTGTTTCCACAAAAACTACTGGGTGTGAGATTCACGAATCCAACAACGATATGGCTGAAACTGCTAAACTTCTGATTCTCAATTGCTGGAGTCTGCAAGCGAATTATACCGACCGGGCCACTTCCGCTTGTCGGAGAAGTTAGTGCCAACTTTAGCGGATAGACGGTGTTCCGTGGTCAGCGCAATGAATCCCCATGGTCATGAATTTGTTTTCTAGACCAGAGTTGCTATTTCCTTGAAACAGCTCATCAATTATCGTCATGAGGCTGAGTGGACCCCATTCCAAACCCACCATTTCTCTGAAAATCTGGTAGCGCCGGGAAACGAACCTGAGACCTCAGGATCAGTAGCGAGGAACTCTGACCGCCAGAACACACAGAGGCAGTCGCTAAACTTCGATTACTGAAAGAACTGCTCAGATGTATAAACAATGGTGTCACAACCATAAAACATGGACATCACACAACTGGAAGCATGTGATATGGCCATAGGAGTCATCCTTCATGCTGTTCCCACATTAGGAAGAGTTTATGATTGAAGAACACCCAACGAAGCCTAAAATATGGAATGCAGGGTTCCAACAGTTAAAACACAAGGGAGGTTCTGTGATGGTTTGGGTAGCAACATCCTGGTGTTCTGTTGGCCCCACTTCATGTTCAAGTTACTGCAAGGAGTACGTGGCCAGGTTGGGTAATCAGGCACATCCCATGATTCAGATGTTATTTCTGGACAGCAATGCAGTTTTCCAAGACAACAATGCCCCCATTCACACAGCTGGAACTGTTCAGACATGGTTTGAAGAGCATGAAGGTGAATTTCAATATCTTTCCTGGTCAGCACAATCTCCAGATTTGAATATCACTGAACCACTCTAGTCAGTTTTGGAGATTATAGTGACGAACAGATTCCCAAATCCAACACCTCTAAACAAACTTGAACATGTTCTTCAAGAAGAATGGTAAGAAATTCCACTAGGGACTGTTCAAAAATTGTAAGAGCCCATTCCAAGGACTGCAGCTGCACTGAGGACAAAAGGTTGTCCAACACTACAGTAATAAAGAAATATGTAGAGTATTTGTACTGTTTTCATTATTTTGTCCAATCCCTGTATATTTTAGGAGATTCCTATGAGTGAAAGAGGCCTTTTGGACCTAATTTTGCACTGCTGATGACAATCTAGAGGGATGTCCAAGAAAAGTGTAAAAAAATCAATTAGTGTACAGAGAAACGTTTATTATACCGAAGAAGTGTTCTCACAGTTCAGCATCACAAACCTTGAAAGTTCTGTCTGTCACCTAGCAAGTTTCAATCAATGTGAGCAGAGCACCATTAATTAGTTGACACACATCAAAATGATATTTTATCTCGCAACATGTGTTCACAAGTGTAACTTTGGTCACTGTTGCAGTCGCACCTGTTACGTGATGTTGTAGAGTTCAAAGATCTGCAGTTTCCTCCTGGTAGATGATATGCCTCAAATAACCCCTGTGAGGAAAAGTCCAATAGTGTTAGGTCTTGTTATCTTAGAAGAAATTGCCTCTTTCAATCCACTTACTCAGAAAGTGTTCAGACAATGTTTCCAAAGCATGGGGCACTCCATCTTGCTACAAATGTGCATCACCAGGTAACTGTGGAGACCCGAATTACCAGCACTGATGGCAACAATTCAACAGATGGTAGATTCCAGTCTACAGCTTGCTGTGTTGAAAGCTGGAGCTTCAGCATCAAGCTACTACTCCATTAGGAAGTATTTCCCAAGAAAAACTGGAAATTAGAAGTGTCATAAATTTTAAATTGCCTGGACGTCCAATGGCATTCACTGAATATCAGAAGTGCACCAGACAAGCATATCTACATAGCAAGCAGACAGCTGCATCTTCCAAACTCCACAGTTCATGACACAGTACACGAATGATTCTTATGTGTAGAAATTGCAGTTGTGCCAGCACATCAAATCAGCTGACCGTGGCTGCGGTAAGAGACTATGTGGTACACTCAGCCATCTCAAGAAATTATAGAACATCAGAAGGACACATCAAGGGTTAATGTATGGTGTGACATGATGACATCATTGGACCTCTTCACTTCCAGGAAGCAACCGTGACAACCCATTCAATAGTTGGACATATTAGGGCACTACACTGTACTCAACTGCTTTGTGGTGCACGATGGAGCACACCCACATTATCCATCAGTTATGGAACAAAAGGCTTCCAAACAAGTGAACTGGAAGAAATGGTTTCTTAGCATGGCACTCAAGATCACCACACCTAACACCACTGAAATTCTTCCACTTGGGTTATGCGATAAGTATCGTCTATCAGGGAAAGCCTGCAGATCTTCAAAATCTGACATTAAATTACAGATGCAAACGCAACCTTGATTGTGAACATATGGTGCAAGATCAAGTATCATTCTGATGTGTCGAGCAACTGTTAAATGCTAACACTGAAAATTACTAGGTGATGAAAAGAACTTTCAAATTTTGTGCTGCTGAACTGCGAGGTCACTCCTTCTGCATAATAAATATTTTGCCATATATGAATTCTTCTTTCTTTTCAAATCCTTCTTGGACAACCTGTATATAATATGCTAATTTTCCCCCTTCATGTGTGATAGCAGGGAAGAAACAAAGTGTCTTCATGCATTGTACACGATGTCCAACCTGCACTCTATGCACCATTTACAGATGCTACATGATCATTTCGATTGGAGACAGGAACACAGTAATATGGAAGGAAAAACCTACATGTACACTCGACTGCCTGTGCCTCTTATTTTAGTAACAAAAGCAGCCTCCAAATATTTGCTGTAACATCAGGAAACTCAGTGCCACCTAGATGTCTAGGTCAGTGAGAAATAAGCTCTTCAAAATCTGTTCACAGAAGTGGTTTCGTGTATGCAGACACACAGGGATATGGAAATAATCAAGAAAATGTGCAAATCTGCATATCTGTGAAATATAAGTATCAATGAACACAGACACACAACTCACCTCACATCCAGGCTTTATTACATGTGGTGTTACTAGCAGAGGATCCACTTCTGCTTGCGCATCAGAGACGTCCTCACCCTTTGTATCAATGATTAGATTTCTATCATCAGATGTTAGGCATGTCTCACAACATGAACTAGGAACAACTTTCAGCATATCTGTGTAATTCTGTAAAACCACCATTCCCTCATCAATCAAGACTGTAGGCTCATGACATGAAAATAGGATACTACTTCATTAAGCCCAATTTACCCAGTGAACAGTTGTATAAATTTCCTTCACAACAAATGTCAAAATCATTACTTCAAAAAAAGAAGAAGAAAAAAAAAAAAGAACTGTGAAATTATATCGTTGTCTTTTAACACCCAAGTGCACATGATATGCTGACATATCATGCCATATTCACAATTCCACAACAGCAGAAGCATCAGAAATGTGTACATATACTTACTTATAGACAAACAAATAAACAAAACTGACTAACCCCATGGAGATGTGCTCTTCTTGAGAAGCTGTCAGTTTCTCAGCTACTCAAAAATTTCCCTACATTTTATAGAACCCAAAGGTTCATTACTGTGTTCACAAGAGCCCTCAATGCAAACATATGCAGTATGCATATCTGACCAATCTCAGAATAATGCTGCCAGTCAGCATTATGGTGTGGTCCAGCAAATGGGTCATGATGATGTATTCCGTGAACTGTAGCATGAAAATGAATGCAGGAACAATGTGACATTAAGTCATGGTAGGAATCCTCCTTCACACAATTGTACAGATAGGTTCTCCACAGAGCTACACAGGTCACACATACACTGCCCCCACTTGGCCACCCCAGACACCCATCAACACTACACCCCTCCTTCCTATCCCAGACTCCTTTTGTTCCTTTTGCTCTGTGTATCCCCTTCCACATGCACACAATTTCTCTTCCATCTTCTGCCCCCCCCCACATTCCCACATCTCAACTACCTTTCATTTTCATGGCCAAATATAGTTATCCTTGTCTTGTCTCCTATGGTTAACTTCCTTCTGTGAGTGAGCCAATTGGAGCTGATCAGCTGCCTTGTGGTTCTCTGCTGTTTACCTACACAAATTCAAGCTTTCAGTGGATGGACTGTTTTTCATGCTACCTGCTTCTTATTGCTTTCTTGTTTGGCATATTCTCTGACCCTGAATACAGAGGCAAAATTTTCCTCTGAAGCATCAGGATCAGGTAAATCTCAACGTTCTACACGACGTTACATGCCAGAAGACAGAACTCATGTTTACAATGAATGGATTATCATTCCAAAAATTACTAAGACTTCACCAGAAACCATACAACAAATGGTTTGTCTAGGAGAAAAATACTGGAAACATATTTTCACATATATAGGGTTTTGCATGACTACTAATAATGGGTTCTGGATTCGATGATTGGATTTACTGGCAATTCCTTTAGAGTTAAAATCAATTATAATTGATAACTGTCATAATTATGACAGTTCAAAACTGCCTATGACTTGTTCCATGGACCACAAGCGCCTTCTCTTCCACTGTGATGATGATAAACAATGAATCACTGCTCACACAGTGAACTCCCTTGAATGATGTATGTCTGATGAATCACCCCCTACGAATGAATTATTACTGTTTTATAACTTCCAGGCAGCCCTAATATAGGTAACCATTTCAAACAGTTCATCTGTTGTTCTCCTGTTGTCACAGAACATCCTTGTTAATATTCATTGCCACAGGAACCTATGTTTGGGACTGGCTACCTAGCAATGGATGTCCCACTGCTGACTGTGTTACATCAAGAAGCATATTTTTCAAGGCTACTTTTAGAAATAAGCATATAATTTGACAAGTTAGTTAACTTATGGAATTGTTTAAAATTTGTTAACAACTTTTGAACCATTTTAAGACACATTACATTAATAAACTGATTAATACTAAATAATAAAATTCCTAATATAATAGGATTGAATTATTTTCAGTTTTAGACAACAACAGTGTATCACTATGATTTTGCATATATTATTAGTTTACATTCTCCAAAAGGGAGAAAGAAAGAAAAGGATGACTTAACATAGAACAATCTCCCCACGTTGCCATCATGTCTAGGAAGGCATACGTGACTCCTGATGGCATTACAACACTGAGTCAGATATTTGGTAGAACAACAATATACAGTCTCATGATAATTTGAAGTAAGTTTTAAATTCATTCAATGGTTGCAGCCAGGGCATCTGACAGTTTCACAGCATTCTTCTGACCAGATAAATCCACAGTATTTGAATATGTGGGAGAATATGAAGTTAAAGATCAGTTTACTCACTGTTATATAATACAACTTTTTGGTTCCAATGATTATATGCATCAATAATCAAGTTGTAGGTACACAGGTCATAAAATATGCTCAATAGCAACATATGATAACACCATGCAAATGAAGAGAGTTAAATGCCTAAGCATACTGGCAACAACAAGCACCTACTGATGATTAGCAAATTAAGACAACAAATATATATAGAATGTCCAATATAGACTGTGCTCTTTTATCCTCTTCTGACTGGGCTGGACAACCACATGAGGACTCATGCATGAAATCTTGCTTGTTGCAACTGTTGCAGGATTTAAAATTATCCGCTGACATGAACTGTCACAACTGTGAACATTCTCTGAATTGGATATCATTAAGAGACAAACATTTTTATGAAAACCTCAAGAACATCTGAAAACATGGCTCACCTCGGGTTCGGACTTTTTTACAGAATATGAGGACGGTATATAATCCTTGCCACATTTTGTGTCACTGGAATCTTCTTCACTCGAAACATCATCTTGTTCAACTTTTATTAATATATTATCCTGTAAAATAATAAATAAAAGATAACTATGTTACAGCATACATTTCTTATGTTTCCAATACATACACAGTGTGTCCTGGTTCTGTTGGGACTGTGTTCATTAAAAATACAAGACGTGAGCTATTTTCAAAATTTCACTCTTTTTATTCAAAATGTCTCCTTCTGAATCCATATATAGCTGGAATCGACTGAAAAGTTTTCAAAAACAGTCACTGTACTCCTTTTGTGGAATCGCCTTTAAAACTGCGGTACATTCCCTTTGGATGTCCTGGATGGTGTCGTGACAGTTTCCTTTCATCGCCAACTTAACTTTTGGGAACAACCAGAAATCTGCTGGAGCCAAATCTGGCAAATACAGAGGATGATCAAGGACTGTGATCCCTTTTCTGGCCAGAAAATTGTGCATGATCTTCGATTTGAGGGGTGGGGCATCGTCGTGGAGGAGCGACCATGAACCTTGCTCTCGATATTCAGGTCGAATTTGAAGAATTCTCGCCCACAAACCATTGAGGACAGCGAGGTAATAATCAGAATTCACTGTTTGATCTTCTGGCAGAAATTCCTTGTGAATGATTCCTTTGGGATCGAAGAAAATGGTTAGCAGTGTCTATACTACACTCTTTTGCATGCGCACTTTCTTTGGTTTCGGCTTCTTTGGGCTCAACCATGCTGCACTCTGCCGCTTTGTGACAGGCTCATATTGAAATCAAAATGTCTCGTCACCAGTAACAATCGATTATGAAAATTCTGTTTCACCTTTTGCCGACCGTAACGTGTCTTTGCAGTCTACCACTCTGGTATGTTTTTCATTGCCCGACAGCGGTACAAACCGCGCACAGACCTTCCATTTACCAAAATCCTCGGTCAAATTGTTATGCACAGTACCTTTTGGTATTCCCAAAAGCTCCTCAATGAGTCTTGCAGAAACACATCTGTCTCATGTAAGGATTTCAGTCACTTTTTTCACATTTTCTTCAGTGAGACTTGTTCTTGGCTTTGATGTCCTCCCTGCCATCATGAAATACAGCATACCATCCAAAAATGTTCTAGCAACTCAAACAATCACTACCATACACACTTTTCATCAGTTTGTACGCGTCTCCGGCTGTTTTGCCTAACTTCAAACAAAATTTGATGCTGGCTATTTGTTCAACAGTCATTTTCCGACAAGTGTCAGAATAGTACTGTTACATTCAAGGTTAGAAAACAGGATGCAGCGATGCTTGTGCTTTGAAATTATAGACAGCCACAGTTGAAACTTCAAGAATCTTAAAGCCACACCTCGCCAACAGATTGCACTGCAGGGCAAAATTAAAAAAAAATTTGTCCTAACGGATCCTGGACACACCATGTATGCCAAACATGAGACAACACATTCACACCTCCAAAAAAAAACTCTGTGATTTCAGTCCACAAACGAACTATACCGACTGAGCGACCATCGCTTCTCGGCAAAGTTTAGTGCCAACTCTTGCTGATAGAGGGTGTCGCGTGGTAAGTGCAACGAATCCCGACGGCCGTTAATTTCGGTTTTCTAGACTGGAGCCGCTATTCCTTTGAAATAGCTCCTCAGTTATCATCATGAGGCCGTGTGGACCATGTTCCAGACCCAGTACTTCTCCAAAAAAAATCTGGTAGCACCGGGAATCAAACCTGGACCTCTAGCCAGGAACACTGACCACTAGACCACAGAGGTGGTCACATTCACACCTCCAAACATTCTAAAATCATAAATGCAAGTACCCATCCAGGAAAATAATGCTGGATGCCCAGGAACAAACATCAGATACTTTCAGACGAAAAGGGAATCTAGGGGGCCTGGAAACATGACAATGTCACGTGATGGAATGAAATTCGTGAATCTTATGTTACTGAAGTAAAAAATGTATAAGCACTTCCGTGTGGTAATGTACAGGTATGCAGAATGAGTATCAAGCTTCTAGGTTTAATATACAAGCACATAACAACTTCTTAAATATTTGTATTTGTAAAGTATAGGGTGGCATTTAACCGGCAGGCAATTATAAATTTTTCTATGGAAAATCACAGGTTAGGGAGATGATTTTTTTTTTGTACATGGGGGAACCATATCAGTTATGAGGGTACAGTTTGGTAGACTTAGGAAGTCATATATACTACTGATGCTGGAAGCAGCGTCATCAGCAGCAACTTGAAGCACAGAGCAAATGATACTCGAGATGGTTCAAGTTTGTATAGCAACAGGCGTGACCAGAGTCGTCTGAACGTGTTGCACTGTGATGTGGAAAGCAAATGGAAAAACTACCACTTTCCTGGATAGTCTCTTTTCAGAAGCAGATCGCATTAAGTGGAGAAACTATTTTGGAAGAGACTGTGGATCTGTCGTCTGACAGATTACTGACGAATGAATGAATATACTACTAAGGTCACTGGTGTGATATCGTTGTTTTGAATGTTCATGCCAACAAGGGGTAAATCATGATGCAAGTAACAGCTTCTGAGGAACTGAAACATATATTCACTAAATTCCTGAAGTACCAGGTGAAAATTTTGTTCACAGATTTCACTACCAAAGTGGGCAGAGAACATATTTTCAAACCAACAATTCACGATAGTTTACACAAAAACCGTGATGATAATAGAGTTATAGTACTAAATTTTCCACATCCAAACATCTGTCAAGAGCCACAATATTCCCTCGCCATAACATTCATAAAATTACTTCAAATACCTGATGGAAATACACATAATCAGCTCAACTATATCTTGACAGAGAGGACTTGGCATTCAAGTGTACTGCATGTCCATTCTTTCAGGGGAACAGACTGTGTACTTACCACTATCTGTTGGCGGCAAAGGTTAGGGAGAGACTGGCAGTATGCAATTGAGCACCGCAAAAATATGACATGGACAGATACAATCTCAAGAACCTAAATGAGGTAGAATGTAATGAACAACACTGGGATGAAATCTCCAAACAGGTTTGAAATTCTGTAACACCTGGATCATGATGTGGACTTCAAGAACAAGTTTATTTGAAAACAATTATTCCAGTTACATTACTTAGGGTACAATGATTTACCAGTTGATACATAAAAAAAAAATGGTTCAACCATGCTGAATAAATAGTAACATGGCTTTAAGATTAAAATGAGCTGGCCATGTGATAAGGACTGAGGAAAATGAAATGTAAAAGAGAGACCAAGGTACAAAATCTGATGAACAAAAAGGAGTAGGAAGACTAAAAGCGAGATGGATTGACAACGTGGAAAGTGATCTGTGAAAAGTGGAAGTTCAAGATTGGACGAAGACTGCTATGAATTGAAGAGGCTGGCCAAAAATTCTTGGAAAGGCCAGAGCTTAACTTCTGCTGTTGTGGCAGCGATGAAAACGACCACGATGATGATGATGATACACTTTTAATGTGTGTAACCATTCTTATGGAATTGAAGGCATAAAGATTGAAAACAAAAACATGCTTATTGCAAAATATACAGTACCTCTAGCTATAATAAGTTTCCTTAAGATTAGTGAATAAAATTCTCTTCTCTACACAAAACACTCACCATGCTTTCTTTCAGATTAGGGAACATGTCATCAACTGTCGGCATTACAATTTTTGGTACTCTTGCTGGAAGAGACTGATGATCCTTTTTTATGCTTAAAACTTGTTTATCACACATGATGGTTTGTGGATTATGCAATAAAGTGGCTTACAAGAAGCCTACTGAGATGGCTCTCCACAGAACCTATTATTGTACATTGGATGGAATATGTGCAAGGTCCTGAAACAAACAGAGCAATTAAAAGTGCTAATTAACATATTTTTAAGCAAACATATATTTGCATTTCTAAGATGCAATGGGCCATTTGCTATGTATACGGATATAATAAAACCTCAACTTGGTGACCCTCAGACTTCTTCAGTTATGGGATCAGTATATCAATATTTGGAAGCAGAAAGCACTCTGCTAACTGTGTTAATAAATAAGAAAGATCTGGGTCTAATGAAACATTTACAAACGAAAAATGATAAGAGACAAGAACCACAATTTGGGACCACAAAATGAAGCAAAAAATGGCAAATGGCTTGAGAAGTCTACATAATAATAGTAATGGATATATAACAATAAGATGTTTCAGAATTATGCAATTCCTGGAATTTGTCCAGTGTCTATTATTGTGAAAGACCATGTTTTTGAAACTGTATGTTTCCAACCCGAGGTGCAAGGGTCGGAAGGCACCTACTCACTTGGGTCCATTAGGAGTTAATCTCAATTCACTGGACCTCATTAATCCCGACTGTAATACACCCACAATGACAGAGGTGTTGTCTTGTGACAATTTAATGTCAAATTTCAGAAAAATGTCCAACTTCACAGATTTGATGGCTGAGCTGATGTGAGAAGAACATACAGCTTGACTTCTCATCCGACTGCAATCTGCTGTGCTAATCCCAGCAATGCGTGTGATAGGGGCTAGCTCTATCTATTGGACCCAACTGAGTAGGTTTTACCTGAGGATGGGGACACATTCCAGTCTCCAAAACGTTGTTTTTTAAAAAAATTGACTAGAAAATGGATAATGTCCAAAACTATAATACTTGTATTAGGAGACATGTCTGAAAACCAGAGCACATAACAGGAAAGAATCTGACTCGGCTATATTCCCCACAAACTGCAGCACAATACTTGTCACTATTCAGCTGATTCAACTAAGACACAACGCCAGGAGTAGAGTTCTTACCAAGAACACGATAGCTTCTTAGTTCATCATGGAAATTGTCTGTCAACTGTGGAGCTGCACTTTACTCCACAGGAAAATTATTTAATTAATTCCTGGTACTCATTTCTGTTAGAGGCTGAGTCGACCCCAGGGCCACAGTATGGCTGGAAGGATTAGGTCAATTGAAAAAAATCCAATGACCTCATCGAGGCTTGAACCCGCGACCTTGTAGCTTGTAGCTTAGCCCCTCAACCAACTACACTACCACGGGCCCCTGATATTGTTCAATTGTGTTATCTGAATTAACTACAGACCCTAAAATATTTATAATGAGAGATCTTTTCTACGTTTACGCCACTGCATCTTAAATCTTAGATTATTTGAGGTTTGTTAGAACAGTGCAGGAATCTAGTTTTTTGTTTGGCATTGGCAGTTTACATCTGGAACATCGTAGCTCTTCAACTGGAACATCTTGTCAGCTGTTCATCACAAGCTTCTGTGGAAAAGAACCTGCAGCCACTTTTATTTTTTCTAATGCTTTTAGGCTGTTCTCTCTTGAGATGTTCCCATAGTATTTCATGGTCAAATTTCTAAAAATGGCACTATTTTAAAATTGAAATAGTGTTGCCAAGAGTATTTTTTTAATTGCTAGTGGGGTGGGACTAAGCCCCTTGTACTGCAGCCATTTCTGGCCTATTGTACCAGCCCCAGATCATAGGTGAGGGTGATTGTGGAGCAATTGGTGGAATGAAGATTGGCAGGTGAAATGAACGTACTCAGAGAAAACCTGCCCCAGTGCCAATTTGTCCACCACAAATCCCACTTGACCAGACCTGGGATCGAATCTGGGCCACTGCGGTGGGAAGCCAGTGACTAACTGCTTGAGCTGCCAAAAGCAACATAATGGGCAATGAAAATCCACTACATCCTGTACAGCAAACACTTTCAAACTATGTAAGATTTGAGGCTTTCACGGCGGTGACTATGAAGAAAGCAGTCTTCTGGGATTTGGCACCGTGTATATGTGGTGTTAACCGACGTTTCGGAGGAACGTATCGCCCCCATCTTCAGTCTGCTTGACCGTGTCTCACGGTGTTGTCGCTTGCAGATTTACTTATACTTCTTCAACCCTGAAGATGGGGGCGATACGTTCCTCCGAAACGTCGGTTAACACCACATATACACGGTGCCAAATCCCAGAAGACTGCTTTCTTCACTTTCAAACTACTTCATTATTCTTAACCATTTCTAGCCATAACTGACTGTCTCCACCCTTTGTTTCCCACCCTTCTTGCAGAACATCACTGTGATTTCTCTTCTGCCAATTGGACTACAGTGCTGAAAGATTCTTTCATCTCTTTAATCGATGCAGCAACCATCAACATGTCACAGGTATACATTTGTGTCTTCCTGTTTGCACCTCTGAATTGCCTTTGGTTAGCCGCCTTTTCAACATACTGAACACAGAGCATTCCAAACATAATCCTTGATATTTATCAATATTGAAGCCATCTTCTAGGATCTGGCGCCATGTGGAAATTGTGTCCACTACCTGCTGGCTATTCCACCAGACGCTTCCCCCCCCTACTATTTCCCTATGTAGCCACACTCCTTCTCTCTTCCTTTTATACAGCTGTGTTTACTTGACTGGATGCCCAGGTTTGATCCCGGGGTAACTGTGATGTTTTTATGTCACATGTTACAGGTGGTAATGACACCATCCTTGGTGAGGTTAGCCAAACCACGGCTGTGTTTTGGTGGGGACGTATCATGGACCAGGGATGCATTGGGACAGTTTTGGCACACATCCTTGTGGTCCCGCCGGGCAACGACAGTCTTGGGAGTCTGGATCACTATGACCTACTGGGGCTGGCTGCTGAGTTCCCATAATGGGCAATGGCATTATGAGTGAGCATCCCATGCGGTGGCACAATGACTCTTGTGTGTCAGTATGGCATACCCAGGATGAATGCGGGAGAGCACTCCTATGGGGTAGCTTCTGCTATTTGAGTGGTCTCCCTAGAGTACCAATAAGGTGCCGCAAGCCTTAAGGGTCAACACTCTAAAACAGTTTGGCCAACCCATGTGGAGGGGTGGGAATGGGGGAACTTCTAGGCCACCCCCAGGGGCAACTCTCTTATGCAGGTTGTCCTGGTCACAACCTCATGACCAACTGGTGTCACACTCCCATTAATCATACTGTCTTCTGTCAATGGATAATTTTAATTCTCAATGTGAGCTTTTATTATTATTATTTAATTACATTCCATTAATCCATACAAGGTCAAATGATGTACAGGATACAGAAACTGTCATTATAAATATAAAACAAGAGTACAACAGTAAATCTCATATACATGTCATAGATCTTACAGTAGCCATCTGCAACAATTTTACATAGAATTAATAAAAATATGGTAATAAAAGTAAATTACAACTATTAACTAAACAATGTAAGGGTATACATTGGGAAGTTGTTTTGTAAAATTTATCAGTGCTATAAAATTCATGTTCAGTGAGATAGCTTCTCAATAAAGATTTGAACTGCTTAATTTCTTTAGATAACAATTGAACATCCAAAGGTAAGTGATATAAATCTTGCTTCCAGAGAACAGTATTTCTTTTTGTACTATTGATAAATTTGAAGAGGGCAAGTATAAATTATAATTATAGCAGGTATTAATATCATGAATATCTGTGTTAGATGTAAAGTAGTCTTTATTCTTAATAACGAAAAGAAGTAAGGAAAAAATATATTGAGACTGGAGTGGCAATATTTGTAATTTTTTTAATTTTAAAGATACTCATACTAAGGGGGACATTACCCCAAAAGATAAAGCCATACTTCAGTATCGAATGTACATAAGAGTAGTAAATCATCTTTATTGATTATTCTTACACAATTTCTGCATAAAATTCACCTTTCTTGGTCACTGCAAGATTAACACTTGGTCTGTGGAGACCATATTGTGCCTTGTGTTCAATGAATCTGAGTAAAAATATTCATACTACTTTCACTGTAGCAAATACACTACTATCATTTCAGAGCTACCTGCAAAAGTTTATAGACACTGTGGCAGAAGAGGCAGATGCATGTAGTTCAATGATACCCAGAAAGCTCCAGATGACTGTGCCATCTATACTGGGACAGCACTGTCAGTATGCAGAATTTTAAATTACAAGACTCATTTCTTTAAGCAGCAGCCATAATACTGATTTCCCTTTGCAGAAGAATATTTTATTACTTTAGCTGAATTTCCACAGAAAATTATACATGACACATGTGAATTAAAATGTGCAAAATACGCTGTACATTTTTCTAAGTCCCAAACTAGCAAAAATTAGTATTTCATTACAAAGCATGTTGTGCACACTTTGAGTTTACCTGATCTATGCTGCTTTTCCATTTTCGGTGACTGTCAATTTGGAGACCAAGGAATTTAGTGGTTTCAGTTTCCTGTACAGATTTTAAGTAACTTTCATTTTTATCCTTTAGAGTTCAGCATCCCGTACAAGTGTTATCCTCATGAAAAATGTCTCGACTACTTTAACAATTCTGTAAGAGAAATTCTTAAAATACTTCTATCCTGATTATGCAATCACGAGTTACTTCACAATTCCACTTTTGAACATTCACGATGGGACCACATACCTGCTACTAAAATCTTCTTGTATACAGTTTCAAGACGTAATATAGTACAACCTAACCTCTAAAACACTCTTGTTAGGGACACTGGGTTTCACTTCATGATTCTGGGCAAACACAACCATTCCACTTTATCTCATGACACTGGTTTATTCGCTATGGAGAAGAGAAATAAATTCTGGGTTATCTACATTGATCAAAAGATTCTCTCACCCTTAACAAAAACTGCTCTTTACACATGCGGCATGTTTATAAACAAAACACAATTTTCACTCAGTTGTAACTTTGTTACATAAACCATGAAATGACCCTACCATTAGCAAACTGTGAACTTCGCCATTCTGAACTGCAAAAGAACAGAGGTGCCTGAAAAAAAATCGTTGCACTTCGAATCATACACCACGTACGGATGGACTGTTACATAAAAACAGCAAACAACACGCTCCAATGTACATTACTCTTACCAAAACCACACATGATCACATAACAAAGAAATCACACGAAGACACCAAGACCACATACATTACCAACATACAGACTAAAAATTTAACGCTCATACGTTGGCTACGTAGCCTTACAATCGCTCATAAGGCTCATAATGTCCTACACCCTCTGAATAAGTACAGGGCACGAGGGCTATACAAGCCGTACATTAATCCCCAAGATTACCTGCTGTTAGAATTTAACAATTCCTTCCACGTTCTGATCCCACCCTACGCCGTATCATAGACATTATGAATCCATCAAATGCGGGAGCAATGTCTGATTTACTTAAAAAAAATTTGGAAACTACGGTACAAACATTTGTACTAAAAAGTAAACAAAGTAAAGGGATCCCTGTAACAGGCCGTGGAGGCCCATAGGGTTGTGAGATGTTGAGGTTCCCACATTTTCTAAGACAATCGGCTCATAGAGGGCGGCAAGGTTGTCAGCCCTACGCGCCGGCCGCCCTTTAACCCCAAGAACATTCCAAGAATCTTCCTGGTACTCATTTCTGTTAGAGGGCCATAGTGCGGCTGGAAGGTTTACGTCAACTGAAAAAAGTCCAATGACCTCATCGGGACTTGAACCCGCGACCTTCCGGCTTGTAGCATAGTGCCTCAACCAAATAGGCTACCATCAACCAAAAATTCCGTTAACATACACCTTATCACCGTAAACTACGTACTACGAGAAATCAGTAACGTTCTCCTTGTAATTAATCAATCGATGAAGACTTATGGAGGATTGGGGGCAAAATTCATGCATTATTAACTTCAGCACTGGATATAAGTCAAGGTATAGATCATGTATTATTAACTCTAGCACTACAGACCACTTACCTCCAACTAACGCAGAGGCCAAGAAAATGCGGATCTATACATCCACTCTCCCATACGCTTTCATGGCGTAGTGCTTAATTAGTTAAGCACAGGGACAACTTTACATTTACTACAGACAGTGGAGCCAGGATAGTGCAGTCGGTATAGCGACTGGCTACGGTCTGGACAACCGAGGGATCGGAGTTCAAGCCCCGGCAGGAGCAAGAATTTTCTTTTCTCCACCTCCTCCAGACCAGCTCTGTGGTCCACCCAACTTCCTATCCAACAGGTATTGGGGACTCTTTTGCTGGGGGTAAAGCGGCCAGGGCATGAAGCTGATGACTCACCTCCAGCTATTGCTGAGGTCAAGAAGATGTGGATCTACACATCCACTACCCATATGCCTTCATGACGTAGTTCTTAACTGGTTAATAACATGGACAACTTTTCCTTTACTACAGCCAGTGGTCAGTTCTGCGCTCCGCTCGTTCTACCAATGGGGAATGAGCCCCCTGTACTTATCGGACAGGCTCTGTATTATTGGCAAAGAAGCTTATTTATGAGTTAATGGCAGTTGATGTTGAAAATCTTCAATGAATATATCTTGATCACGATATCTGTATCCAGCCTTTTGTTCAACACTTAGTTAGTTATTTAGAGAGGGTGGGTTTCCCCATGCACCGCGACCAGTTTGATCTATTGTGCTTCCCTCTATGATATTCTACCAGTCTCTATACCCTACCGATAAATGGTGCGTACCATCAGTCCCGCCGAGCAAGCGAGTTTGGCCACTTGCTTAGCGGTATCTATAATGCTTCCCCCATCTATCAGAGGCCTTAGAGACTATTGTTGGGCGGGAAACGTCCTGGAATTTGGCTCAGTGATCCCCTTTGGGGATATGAGGTTCTTTTACGTGCCATAAAGTTACGACATGGGACACACAGCTTAAAGTCCTTCCCGGAGGACTTGTTCCCTGAATTTTTCCGCCCTAAAAAATTCGATAACCTCCGCCGGGTATTTGAACCTGCGTACCACGAGTCATGAGGTGGGAATGTTACCTCTAGACTACAGAGGCCGCTTTGTTCAACACTTGCAGGAAAGCAATATCTCCAGTCACTTCAAGTTATAAGTGATGTCTACAGTATACACCGTATTTACGCATGTATAGGCCGCAGCACAATTTTCAGACATAAATTATAGAAAAAATAATTTTCTTGGAATATTATTTCAGGAGTAGAACACCCTGTATTACTAATTATGAATATAATTTTTTTTAAATGAAGTGTGATTTCGAATATTTCGAATATAAGCCGCGCCCCAGTTTTCCTCTTGAATTTTTGGCAAAAAATGTGCGGCCTATACATGCGTAAATACAGTAAATAAAATCATAATACTATTATGGGAACAGTGAATCATCAATGCTGACTCTAGGAAGTACTGTCTGCTGGTATTGAAAGGGCAGCATTAAGAGTCTCCCCTCATCCACTATTCCTCCCTAAGCAAGTGGGATGCCACTAAAAGCTAAAAAAAGCGGCCAGATCAAGTATTTTCACTTTATCAGACTTCTGCGTTAATAGCACTGGCAAAGTGTGCATCATGTCAGAGTACACTGTTTCCTAATGCAGTGTTTGTGATTTTACAATATCACAACCATTAAGCACTTAACATCATGGTTAGGCCTTTTTAATAACCATAAATGAAGTTCCTTCTCTCTCTGCTGGCAACAGAAGAAATAAAAATTCTTAGAACATTTCAAAAATAATTAAATTTAGATGACTACATTAAATTCCTCATGATTTACTCAATGTCTTCAGCTTCCAAATCTAAGCTATCGCTGTCCTGTAAATGAAGTATTAACTGTCCTATCTTAGCTTCCTTGAGTCCATCCATCAAAAAGTACTCTTACATCGCCCACATCGAACCAATGCACAGACAGAACACATCAATCATATATCTGCATATCATGCAGATCACTGTGATACAAGTCATTTTCCATAACCTCAACACTATTGGGTAGGAAGCTGGGAAAAACTCTCACTCAACAAGAAACATTTTCTAAGTTCAGTTTTTTATAAATCTGTGACTGCACTGCAAAGGCTTTGGAAGAGAAAAGAGAATGTCTTTTGGGCAAAGTACAGATGGTGGGAGGTTTGTTTGCAAAGTATGGAAGTGTACTGTATCAGGAAGACACTTGTGAAATGTACACAAAGATATTTTCTGGCAAAATACTGCAATAAAATCTGAAAAATAAAAATCTCAGAGGAGTTGTTGCCTTCAATCCAGGCACTTCCAATAGATCACATTACAGCAGAGTCACATCTTACAAGGGGGTTTCATTCTAAAAATGCAGCATAAAACCCAAAATTGTGTACAGTCAGAATTAGGTAACGTAAGGTAAAGCTGTCCCTGTGGACACAACATGAACATGTATGGAGGAATGGATGTACAGACCAAGGTTTTCTTGACCTTGGCACTAGTTGGAGGTGAGTGGTCAGCTTCACGCCCCAGCCGCTTTACCGCTGGTACCCATTGGATAGGAGGCTGGGTGGACCTCAGTCAGTCTGGACAACTTTGAGAAGAGAAAATTCTTGACCCTACTGGGACTCGAACTCCAATCCCTTGGTTAGCCAGAATCACCCTTGAAAATCATTTAAATTGTCCATAAAGTACATGTACGTGTATATGTACACAACATACATAATAAAGAGTACATACACAAGTAATATGGACAATAATTATATTTTTCATTACATTAAAATAGTGGAGCGAGGCAAGAAGAATGAAGAATGAAAGAATAGAAAAGGAAAATAATAAAACTGGGGAGAGCCAGTGCTTGATACCGATTTAGGATATTCAGAGACAAGCTTGGGTGACGGGCAGCGAGTCACAGATAAATTGCCTGCATTATTAAAACTTTGTTTCCTGTTTCTTTCTACCATTCTACCATTAGACAAGTGCACATGTCCATCAACATTTAAAAAGCCTGCTGAATATTCAGTGTAATTACACAGTATTTACTTATAGATTTCAATTATTTCTGTCTTGAGTTTTAAGATTTATTTATATTACACTAGCAACACCAATTGCAAGTATGCTTCATATAAATAACAAAACATTATTCTGAACACTTTATACTAACTCTCAGATATATTTTTTATGTTATGTACAAAACTGTAATGATGGGTGAACTACCATTCTGTGACCCAGTTTTATCTTTGTAGGATCTGAGGGTATGAAGTATTCTGTCATCTGGGATATAACACCATATGGTCCACTGAAAGTCAACCAGCCTTCCAGAGGAACATGTCACCTACTTTGTCGTGGCTGAAGAATGAGCCAAACAAAAAACCAGCAAGAAGCCTTTGCCCGGTACCTGTTCCATTTTCTTACTTGGCTTATTCTTCGAACCTGACGATGGAGGGGGCAAGTTCCTCTGTAACACCAGTTGACTTTCAAAGAATTACATGGTGTTATATCTCAGAAGAGAGAACTCTTCAATTTTAGCTTTGTTCACTATATAAGCATCCATTCAAAGAAATAAACATACCACTGTGAGAACCTCAAATCCAACAAAAAATGAACAACAAAACTTTCATTGAAATAAAACATAAAATAGCATTCATGGGGATCAAAAATGGGCAACTCTGTTGCAAAGCAAGTATGTAGCTAAATATTACACATCCGCAGTCAAGCAGTATGCTGCATAAAAATTATATTATACTGCCAAAGGTCTCCATTTAAGCATCAGTGTCAGTGAGGCAGCATTTTCCTGGGTCCTGCATAAATGTTATTTCAACTTCCAGATGGACATATTATCATGCTTGCGATATGTAAGCAAAACAGGAGACTGTAACCGTTCATTCTGACTGGAGGACTGTTGTGTGTAAATTAAATTTTGTATTAAGTTAAGATTACAAACAGAGAGATCCAGCAGATAGCCAGCTCTTACATGCGGAAGGGACATAGTTCAAGTTTTGCTATGTGGACAGGAAGTAACATCTGGTAATTTCCTAAAATTCTGGCAGTTTCAGCAAAGTCGGAAAGGCTTTGAGAAAATGAGAGCTGACAGCTTGGGACAGCGATAACTTAGAAGTGGGACAGCCGGAGCCTCACACCCTGATCGTAATGCATCAAGGGGCTGTCAACCTTGGCGTCAGGTCAGCATCTGCCAGAATCACATAGCAGAGCAACATGATTGGGAATTCAAAATTTAGGGAACCTCCTAGTTTGAAAACTTAACCAATGGCAGAAGTGGAGGAGTGGATTTCTCTTGGAGTCTGGGGTTCGTGGACCTCAGGATTCAGAGAGAGGGCATTCCACCTCGAGGAGTCTTGACACAACTTTCGGCAAAGTCGGACACAAAATTTACAACTACAGCCCTTCCTTAAAGTAGTATAAGTAAAGTCCAAATTAAATGTATTAATAAATTCAGTTGTATTCAGAAAGCTGGAAGGGATTAAAGGACTACTAAGTGCAACGGTCTAAAGAGGTGTGTAATTGTAGTGAAGGGTTCTTCCTGCCCTGTCCGAGCCAGAC